TTTGCCTGCTGGGTGTATTTGGCACTGTGGATTGAAGCTTGAGCCCTGACAGCCCATGGAGACCCTATTGTACAGATGAGGTGGGGCTCAGCGTGTGCCTGCCTGGCTCCTCTATGGCTCCCAGGGGCCTCTCTTGAGCCTCATTGCCTGCCATGTGGGATCCTGTCTCCTGGCAGCAGTGTGTCCTGGGAGACGCTGTGCAGAGGCCATGGATAGGGATCCTAGCTGCTGTCTCCTTGGCTTCCTTACCCTGGGGGCTCAGCTAAGGGGAGGAGGAGCAACTTTATGGAACTGGTCATAGTGCTTGGAGAGCCAGAGGAGAGACAGCCACAGAAGCCACCTCTAGCCTGGCCTGTTGCAGGGCCTTTCTTCCCAATGTAGAGCCTGGATGAGTCAGGCCTCTGGCTCAGCAGACCCTGGGTGACTGTGCAGAGGCCCTGGTGCCCAGTCCTCAGCACAGTAGTGACCCTAGTTTACCCTACGGTGAGGACCCTGTGTCAGTGGGGTCTCATAACCACTGCCTGGCAGTCTGTAGAGGAAGAAGGAGTTGGGCTCTCTCAGGCCTGGGAGGAATCCTGTTGACCCTTCCCTCCTGTGAGATCCTGCAGGCTATTCGGAGCCTCACGGGCCTCCCATAATGTAGCTGTTTAGAGGATGTGAGCATGAGATGAAGGTATAGCAGCATCTCTCAGTGCAAGGTTGCCCCAGCAGACTTCCTTCCTCCATTACAGGAGGGGCTTGGGTTAGACTCAGGACAACCACTTAAACTGGTGGCCTCCAGGAGCTGCTCTGTTTGGAGGCAGAGACCCCAAGAACATCTAGCACCTGAAGACCCATGTTGGTTCACCTGTTGGTACCAATAGGTCCAAGATGGCCCCTTCTCCATCTCCCCATACCACGTCCCAGCATTCTCTGGGCTGGAGCTTTCTCCATGTGGGATAGCCTCTGCCTCCTACCTGGAACTCTTAAGGGACAGGGGAAGGAAAGCTAACATCCCTAGGGCAGATCCTCAGGCCTCTCTCTTCCTCTGCAGGACTGGCCCTTTGATGATGGAGCGCCCCCTCCTGGTAAGGTGGTGGAGGACTGGCTGAGCCTGCTGAAGGCCAAGTTCTACAATGACCCGGGCAGCTGTGTAGCTGTGCACTGTGTGGCGGGCTTGGGAAGGTGAGTGACAAGTGGGGGTCAGGTTGCTGTTGGAGGCTCCGCTTGTGCCCCTGTGGTCTAACTTTATTGCTTTGTGCATTTGGACCTGGGCCACATCCGCTCTACCTAAAGGCCCGGGATTCCCAGGCAAGGTCTTTGTTTCACAGCGTGACAAGGAGGGCTTCCTGCTCTGATCCAGTCACGGCACCTCATGCAGAAAAAGAGCTGCCACAAAGACTTCCCGGCCATCCAGGCCTGACCCCTGCTTGAGGGGAACAGCTGCCCACACCAGATGGAAATGAACCAGGCAGGAGAGCGCCCTCCCTGACACCCGTATTGCAGGAGGGCTGGAGGGTGGACTCGTGAGCAGTATGCTCAGAGTTCTTTTTCTAGGTGCTTAGGCACAGAGAGGTTGTCTGCATCCCCTCAGGTTGAACTGGAGGGGCCAGACCTGTTTGGAGTCTGTGCCCTCCAAGGGCAGCTGAGGGAATTGGGGGGGTCAATCATGCCCTCATGCCCTGTATCTTTGTCAGGTGGCATGAGGCAGGGGGATGAGAAGAGGTGCGGGGTCTCTGGTAACCTCAGCTCGGCTTGTTCCCACAGGGCGCCAGTGCTCGTGGCGCTCGCTCTCATTGAGAGCGGGATGAAGTATGAGGATGCCATCCAGTTCATCCGACAGTGAGTAGCCAGTGTGTGCGGCTGCTACTCGGGGAACCCGTGCCGGGTCTTGACAGCTGGGCGGGGCTTAGGCTGTCACCATGGCCTTTCCTTGTCCTTTGCTTCTCACTTCTGTAGCCCTTCCTGTGAAGTCCCATCTCTCTACCCTCCCTGGATGCTCCTAGGCCGGTACCTCCTTGTGGGATGGTGGCCGTCCTGAAGGACCCCCATCTTCCTGATCTTCTGGGCAAGGGCTGCACAGCTGATGCTATACTCCTAGCCTGTAGCGTGTGTGTGTATGTGTGTGTGTGTGTGTGTGTGTGCATGTATGTGACATATCCATGTGTAGGACGGACCTCTGTGCTGTCTGAAATAGGCTCAGCCATCTCTCGCCTCCCCGGGGCAGGCCCCATACAACTGTAGTAATATGGCCTACTAGCCTGCAGGTGTCCATAGGGGAGCCTGGGCTATGCAGACTGGTACACAACCTGAAGAACCACAGTAAACACAGATCCACAGTTCTCTTGTACAGCACTGAGATGCTGCTGGCTGGCTAGGGAGAGATGCATTCCCCAGCCTTCACGAAGCCCAGGCCTCCCTGTTTTCTCCCAGAGCACCAGCTTAGCCTACCTCCTGTGGGACTATCTACTCAAGGCCACACAGATAAGCTCAAGAAAGGGTTTGCTCCAGCCCTACGGGCCTCCAGGGCCCAGAGCTCCCCGGGGCAGGCAAGGTGTCCAAGCCAGGCTTTATAACCCTTGTCTGTCCTTGTCTTGCAGGAAACGTCGTGGGGCCATCAACAGCAAGCAGCTCACCTACCTGGAGAAGTACCGGCCTAAGCAGAGACTGAGGTTCAAAGACCCACACACACACAAGACCAGATGCTGCGTCATGTAGCTCAGGTCCAGGTCCCGTACACCCTCTTACTCCTGTACCTCATTACATCTGTGTTTAAGGAGTCCAACGGCTATGTGCGTTCCTGCTCTGTCCCCGTCTGTGCCCACGGCTGTCTTTCTGAGGCTGCCCTCGGACCTTCTGCCAGCCCTGTCCAACCCCTCCACCCCCTGCCCAGGCCTCCCCCCAGCCTGTGTATTGCAGGTGGGCGTTTTTAACCACTGGGCCCAGTGCCTCAGCGGCACCGCCCTCACCCTCACCTTTTTCCAGCACCGTTGTTACCAGGTGCTCTGGACTCTCAAGGCAATAAATCAGGAGCTGTGGATGTGTGTGAAGAGTGGTGCAGAGCCGACGGATGGGGTGTGGATCCTGGGAGGCCATGGCCCCCATCTCTTCTGTCCTATTGTTGCTGCTGCATGCCTCCTTGGCGCCCTCTGGTGGCCATACAGTGTTCTGCACCCTGCCTTGTTCTACAAGTTGTTGACACATGAGCACCGAGCCACAGCTTGGACTGGTGACAGTGGGGGTTGGGAACATTTAGGAGGCGAGACTGAATCACCTCTGCAGGACAGAATGGGGGTCACTTGTAACTTTCAGTGGCCTCCACTTCCCACCTTCGTGCAACCAGTGAGGGATGGTGGGCTGTGAATTGGCCAAAGTGGCCACTAGCCTAGGAAATGACCCTCCACTGCCCAGAGGAGGGGAGCAGGGTCAGGGCAACAGAGTGGTGTGGTGTGGGGTCCAGGTAGCTCTGAGTGTGGGTGGGTTTAGGTGACGTGGGTCTGCCTAGGACCTCCTCATCCTGCTCATAAGTTCTGAGCAGTGGGCTGGCCCTTCCCTTCGCTGAGAAAAGGGTACTACGAGGCACAGTGTCAGTGTGGATGTCTTATTTTGCAGACCCAGTCCCTTCTGTGCTCAGAACAGACCCAGGGTGCCTCTCATTGATGCTTGCTACCCGCTCCGCTCTTTCCCTCAAGTTCCACCTCTGGACTAGGTCCCACATAGACTCCCAGCAATCCCTGTTCCTGCCCGTCCATGTAAGGCAGGCCATGGCAAGGTGCAGCCCTTTGGGGGAGTTCCTTATCCAAACTCAATAGTGGTGACCTTGTGTGCTGGAAACTCACTACCCTGTGGGATAGTTACAGAAAGTCACTGGTTTTTGTTTTTATCAGTCTGCCAAGCTTTTTTTATCTTTAAAATTTTTTTTTATTATTTATTTGATGTATGAGTGTTCTGCTGCATGTACACCCACATGCCAGAAGAGGGCATCACATCCCCTTTAGATGATCTTGAGCCACCATGTGGTTGCTTGGAATTAAACTCCGGACCTCTAGAGGGGCAGCTAGTGTTCCTAACCACTGAGCCATCTCACCAGCCCCTGCTGTCCAAGCACGATGTCACTATCCCAAGAAGCACATAGCCTAGTGACTGGGAGAGACGTCGTATTGGGGATGCACCCAACTGAGGGCGTGCAGGGTCTACCTAGCAGAGACTTCGTAAGGCCCAAGGGATGGCCTATCGAGGCTCTCTTGGGTGTCAAGTTCAGAGCCCAGAGTCGAGGAGCTAGCTAGAGGGTCCCTTGGTGGAGCTGTCTGGTCTACTGGGTCCTGTGAATGGCTGGCTGTGATGGGATTCTCTAAGCTCTGTGCCCACAGAGCCTGTCTGCATTCCTTCAATAGGGACTGAGGCTGAGGGGAGAGGCTCTGTGTGAGAAGGGATGAGGGGCTCTCAGGGAGTTAGGTACCCTCTTCTAGACTCTTGCAAATTTAAGAGGCCCACCCCCGGGCTTTGTCTGGGGCTGGCTGGTGGGCTCTGCTGGAGGAAAACTGCACTGAGGAGAGAGGCCTGCTGTAATGTGTTCACTTCTGCAGGCTCCACAGCACCATTGAGAACTCTCACCTCGGGACTCTGGAGACTCCTCTCAGGCCCCGCTCCTACTGGATGGCCTGCTCAGCTGTTGCCAAGATGGCCTGGGCTCTGGTCATGTGGAGTTGATGCCACCCCTGAGCTGTCATTAGCAGAGTCTACCACAGAGCTTCCAGTTTGTCTCTGGCCTGCCTCTCCTTGTCTGTCACTGTGTCCTGGAGTCTTGTCAGTATCTTCTAAGGGCTTGGCTTGGCCACAGCAGAGGGCTCACAGGTGGAGGCATGAAATTGACAGTGATTACACTTTTTTTTTTTTGATTTGTTTTTTTTTTTAAATCTAGATTTTTTTTTTCAAATGAAAAACTGTTATACAACCAAGCTCTCTGGACAGGGTAGGGGCAGGCCTGTTCTGGGGGTAGAGGAGGGGAGGATGGCTCAAAGTCACTTCCTGGATCTGGCTGACATCTTGCAAAAGAATGAGAGCTGTCTGCTGGCAAATTCCCGGATGCCAGGTTCTGGGTCCTTTTTGAGGTCTTTAAAAGCTTCAGGAGAGAAAAGACAAGTCAGAGGTGACCCTGGCTTGGAAATGACCCTCTGCTCCCAACTCCAGTTCCATCTGGCTAGGAGGCCAAGAGAGTTCTTTCTATCCATGGACCAGCATGGAGTGCCTTGGTGGGGTGGGGGTTCTGTGCCACTGTCTGAGACTGGCATGCTGCAGGAAGCTGGGAGGTCTGGAGACAGGTCTGAGGTGTGGGCAACTTACTAGAGAATAACAGCTTAATGTCCCTGTCGCTTATGATCTGTGACACGGCCTGGGGTTGGTTGCAGGTCGTGTACCCTGAACAAGATGGAGGGAGAGACATGACTGTTGTATGACGGCTGCTCAGTCCCAGGCCCTCCTTCCCACCCTTGAGGGGGTAGGCTGGGTAAAACAAGGACTCCAAGCCTGGCCCCTGCTGCCCACCTATAAAAAAAGCTGCCCAGGTCTTGATGTGGCGGTGACGGCTGTGCAGGTAGTTGATGGCCTGTGACAGGTGGATGCCGAACTCCTCCTGGCTGTGGGTCATCTGGCCAGAGGAGAGCTCATCTGTCACTGCCATGGGTCTCAGGGACTGTTGACCATTACCCTTCCAGCCTCACTTCCCTGGGAAGGAGAGTCCATGGGGGTGCAGCTACCTCAGGTCCCCACTACTGACCCTGCACCCTGGTCCCTCACCAGGCAGGTCCAGAGGAAGTGGCGGGCGCTGAGGCCGGTTTCCCAGGCTAGAGTGCAGAACAGCGTGTACCGTGGCTGCCAACGGAGCAGCACAGCACAGCGGTAGAATGTGAACTTGGCCTGCTGCGGAGACAGCCATAGGAGGGGTCACCCACTGCCCGTGTGTGACTGAGCCCCGGGGTCCCCACTTCCTGAGACTACAGCTGTAATTATCAGCTCAGCAGCCTCCTGTGCTGGTGTCTGGGGAACTGTTCCCACCCTAGGGTCACAGTGCCCTGTGGAAGACAAGGGGGTAACCCAGCTCTCTCTGAGCCTGTTGGGGAGCTGGCTGCTATTGTCCCCTCCTCTGATGTCAGGGACTCCAGAGAGTGGAGCACTGTAAGGCAGGCTGTATCCATGTATCAGCAGGCATACTGTTTGCCTGGATCCCACCACGCTCTTCTGTAGCCGGTAGACCCACAGATGTGGTTGGCTGACTATGGCAGTGTGTGGGAGGGGACGGTGATCTGGGGAGCCCTGCGAGTGGCCTGACCTGGCTGCCCTGTCCCTTTGCCAAGATGAAAGGCTTGCAGGTTGGCACTGACCGTGACAACAGCTGGACACTGGTCCTTCAGGTGCAGGAGCAAAGGCACCATACTCTGGCATACTTGGGCCCGCAGGCCGTTCAGCTCCTTGTCTGCCACCGTTGCCACCAGGTCCCCAAACAATGCCATAGCTGCTGCTCGAACTTTGTCCTGTTCCTATGACATGCAGGAACTTAGATAGGTTCTAGTGCTTCCCAGCCTGGAGCCTCCCTGTTTCCTCAGACTCCTTTAGTCTGGCTCAGGGACCCAGGTTGGTTCTCCTCCCCTGGACTCAGGCTTTCTCTCAGACAAGGCCTCAGGTCATCCTCACATGGAATTACCCTGTCCTATGGTGCCCACTGTCACCCTGACCATGAAGGTAGCTGGGTGACGTATTTCCCATATCCTAGTTGGGGGGGGGGGGATAGTCATTTTGGACACCTGTCTGAGTAGTAGGCCAGGACCCAGAGTGGACAAGCATGACTTGGCACTCTTCAGCCACAAAGAGGGCTGAGCACTGCCTGGTAGACACCTGGCTAGATCTGGTATCCCTGTGAGTCGCAGCTTGGCAGCTGCCTTGGGTTCAGTGTCCAGGTGCAGTGAGAAGGCAGAAGGGGTCCTGGGGCCCAAGAGAGGTGCAGAGAGGGCCTAGGGATGTACACCCAGCCATGCCTGGCTTTATTCTTACATCATCAAAGTAGTAGCGGGTGTTGATAGCGATGCTGAGACTCTGTGCACCTGCGCCCTGCGTGCCCAGGCGGTGCAGTACATCCGAGACGATGCCCATAATGCCTACTACCACTGCTTTGTTCTTCTGGAAGAAGCCATTGAGGAAGGCTGGCAGCTGACCCTGGAGCAGGCTTTCCTATGGGGAAGGTAGTGGGTGGTGAGTGGAAGGCACAGGTCTGCCCCCTTCACCTGGCTTCACCTGGGGTACCTGACCTGAGCCTCTGCCCCTGTTTTGCCCTTGAGTCTGGGATCTACTCCGGTTGGATGGGGTTAGTGAATAGATGGGTAGGTGGAAGATGGAGGGACGACTCCATACATAGACAGATGTATGTATGCATGTATATATGCATGGATGGATGGATGGATGGATGGATGGATGGACGGATGGATGGATGGACAAGCAGGCGGATAGGTGGGTGGGTAACAGGTTGATGAGTGAATGCTACATTGCCTCCTTCCCGCCCCATCATTAAGCACTCTCTGTGCTACATGCAGTGCAAAGGGCTTTGCTGACCATGGTCACTCTAATGGTCGGCCTTGCCTTAACCATGTGCAGACCTCTAAGTCTAATGGCATTGGAGTGAAGCAGGCTGATGATGGTCAAGGATGTTTTGGGGCCTCATGCCAAGTTTAGTTCTGTGGCATCTCCACGATCACGTTTTCTCTGCGTAACTGCCACTCCCTAGGGTCGATGAGTGGACACTTCTCTACTGATAAGAACACTGGCACCTATCTCAGTCTCTGTATCAGATGGAGTTCACTGACTAGCCCGTAGTGTCCTGGCCTTGCTGCTGCTTGTGATGGCTGATGGCAGTGGTTTGAGGGCTGACCATGGCCACCACTGGTCTCATGACCTGCCTGTGACACAAAGCAGGTTCAATTTCCATCCTATTTCACAGATGTGAATGCTGAGTACTAAACAAGCCTTCTCACTAAAGTCTAGGAAGGGGGTTATTCAGGGCCTCAGGTCTTGCTCATTACAGGGCGCCTGCAGTGAGGGAAGTGTCAGGAACCCTAGGGCCTGAACTGTGGTGGGGGGATGCAGAATGAAGGAGGAGCAGTTCCTCCAAAGGCACCATTGCAATCTTTCTTGCCCCAAACTGTCCATATGGAGTATGGTTTGCTATGGTTAGAGCACAGGGCTCTTAGTTGGGGACAGAAGACTGAGGGATAAGGGGCATGTGATTCTTAAAGGGACCCTCTCCATGCAGGGTGAAAGGTGATGTCTGCCTGGCTCCTCGGTGGGCCTCTGGAGTTGTGCAGGAGAGTTTGTCCCTTCTCATGGTAAGGAGACATGCTCCTGGAAAACAGGAGTGTCCTCCCCTAAAATATGTCCATTTCTGAAGAGGAGGGAGCTGAGACCCAGAGAGGGAAAGTCAATGTCCCAAGTGACAGAGCTAGGCTCCCAACCCACTGGGCCTTGCCCATCCCTGATGCTTGGGGCTACATGTCCCTCTGGCTCTCACCTTCTCCGGGTGGAAGAGTATGTTTCCAAGGCCCTGCAGGCTGGCCACACGGATTTCAGAGCTGGGGTCCTCGAGGCTTTGAGCCAGTACAGTCAGGGCAGCCTGTTTAGAAAGTACCTCCAACAGGGCAGGGCTATAGAGGAACTGGGGGCCCCGGAGAGCAAGGTGGCTCAGGCTTGGCACCTTCTCTTGGTTAGCCTATGTCTTTGTTGGGGCTCTGAGGCTTAGGCCTGTACAGGGCTTGGGGGAGGATGATTGGCTAGTATCCCCAGGCTACTAGGGTTAAAAGAAGCATCTGAAACTTTTCAATGGCCAAGCCCTTCTAGGTATGGCTGACAAAACTGGGACCTAGAGAGGTTATTTAGCTAGTCTGGAGCCAACTTACACCCTCGGTAGGCTCATGGAACATATGAAAACAGGGCCCCAGAAAGAGCAGCTCACAAATCTTTCTGGTGGAGGAGGAGAAGAAGGAGAAGGAGGAAGAAGGGGAGGAGGAGGGGGAAGAAGGGGAGGAGGGGGAAGGGGAGGAGGAAGAGGAAGCATAAGACCCCTTGGCTTAGACCCAGGCAGCTGGTACCAGATACAGAAGTGACCTCTCCCTTCAAAGTTCTGCCTTGGCTGGAGCCTTTGGTAGTCAAGTGGTCACATCCTAGCTCTTGCTGAACCAAAACCCTCATAGCTCAAGGTTCTAGGATGGGAGTGGCTGGGGCCTGAGTTATATGTGAGCAGAATAATGCCACACCTGAATATGATCTGAGGAGTCCGTACCCAGGGCTCATTAACTCTGCTTGGGCCATTGTGGGTGGGGAAGGGTGGAGAGACAGGACCCAGGCTATAGGCTAAGAGGCCCCAGAAGCCCCTGCAGATTGGAAGGGGTCAGTCTGGGCAGTTGTCTCCACAGGGTGAGTCAGGTGGGCCATCTTGTCTGGGGTTGAGGCGGGTGGATGGTGGGACCTAGGCTACATGGGACCCTTGCCCCCTCCCTGTCCTACCTCAATGAGGAGCAGGATGGCTGTCTTCCTTTCTCGCTCCTGCTGGCTTTGCAGGTTGGGTAGCAAGTAGCCAAGAACGGCTTTGATCTGTGTGCAGTGATTCTGCACCATGGCCCTGTGGGCAGGGCCTGGTTTGTGGTTACCGCCCACGAGTATACCTTTTACCACCTCCCGGACTGGCTAGGTTGGACAGCCAGGTATATCCCCATATGCTAGATTAGGCATATGTCTGTGTGTTCCTCTCCCATGTGCCAGGCCTGGGCTATGCATGGGGAAGGGAGAGGAGGAACAGCTAGCCCTTGTTCCTGAGGTCCCAGGACAGGGTGGATCTTGGGGAAGGAGTCTGCAGCTGGTGTGTGGTGTGTACCTCTTGTGTTCCAGAGTGCTGTAAGCACACAGGGAAGTCCACGGGATGCTACCTTTAGGCTGCCCTCAGTGGCCTCCAATGATCCAGAAAGCTCAATGGTATGAATCACTGTGGTCCATATGCCCAGCCTCCCCTTCCCTTGCCCCACTAGTACCTGGCAAGGAGTCCCACGGCCTGTGGATAGGTGTGGATGGAGGTGAAGTATTCCCACGCACTCTGCAGTTCCAGGTGAGCAAAGTCATGCCAGTGTCCTGTGGTGGACAGCAGGCTCTTCAGTGCCTCCAGTGATGTGCTGCAGCCAAGCAGAGAGGCCAGGCTCTGTCCAGAGCTGCAAATGCCACCTGAGCCATCTCTTGCTATTGGGATGGGATGGGGGCAGGGGTCTGGCTCTCCCAGCTCTGGAGCCTGCCTCCTGCTAAGGCCCAGGGTGAGGAGGGCTGTGCCAGCCCAAGGACACAGCAGAGTGCAGTTATCACTAGGACTTGCTTATTAAAGAAAGCATTTAATCAGGGGGCTCTCGAGTTCAGAGAGTCAGTAGTCTATGGCCAGCATGACAGGCAGCATGGCGGTAGCCAGGCAGACATGGTGTTGGAGCAGTAGCTGAGGAGCTTACATCTGATCTGCAAGCATGAGGCAGACAGAGAGAGAGAGACAGAGAGAGAGAGAGAGAGAGAGAGGGAGGAAGGGAGGGAGGGAGGGAGGGAGGGAGGGAGAGAGAGAGAGAGAGAGAGAGAGAGAGCGCGCACTAACTGGGAGGAGCTTGTGATTATGAAACCTCAAAACCCAACCACAGTGACACACCTCCTCCAACAAGGCCACACCTCTTAAACTTTCCTAAACAGTTCTACCAACTAGGGACCAAGCATTAAAAATGTCTGAGTGCTATGGGGGCCATTCTCATGCAAGCAGCCACAGTGGAAGACCAATCACACTTTTGGAGCAGGTAGAGTCTGAGGCTCTTCTGACCAGTTGCAGGGAACCTGTGAGGGGTCTCAGTGTCTAGTGTCTACTGATTACAAACAGGAAGCTGGGAAATGCAGGTTCACGGAGCCCAGGGTGCTCTGGCTCCTTGACTGTCATTCCCGCTCTTCTCCCTTAATGGCGTGATCTCCTCACACTGTTACCAAGCACCCTGGGATTTCTTTCTTCTCCATTTTCCTTTTATTTTTTTTTTTTCCATTTAAAGACAATATCTTGTGATGTACCTTAGGCTAGCCTCAAGCTCTTTCTATGAGGCTAGCCTCGAAACAGGTGGTTCAGGTGTGGAGCTGAGTGCTGAGGTAAGTGTGCCCACACACCTGCTTCTCTTCTTCTATCACTAGTCTCTGGCCCTTGGCTTGGCAGGGCAAAGGTCAACACCGAGGATGAGAGAGAGTCGGAAACAGAGAAATGACATGTCTCATGAGTAGGGGAGTGAGTAAGTGGGAAGTCTTCTGAGAGGCAGGGGATGGACACTGCTGAAAAACAGCCTGGGTGCTCTGGGAAGTGTCCAGAGCACGAGTATTTGTGAGTCAGGGCAGTCCCACACCTGTCAAAGGCACACTCCACCCAAAGCCCTTCTCCGAGTATGGGGGCCTATCTCAGCTGAACAGAACATCAGGAGCCTCCAGTGTCCAGGCTCATCTCCTTTGCCACCCAGTGTTCTGGGCCATTTACCCTGAGGAGCAGCTACAGCCACTGATACACTCACCAGTGGGTTCATAGATCCTCTCTTCAGCACCCCCTTTTTTCCTCTCCACACTGCCAGTCAACCTGGCACAAGGTATCAGGTCCTAGACTGTGGTATATCTCACTGATGCCTCCTACTCTTTGAGACTGAAAGAATGCCAACCAGTTTCTCCAACTTCCCACTGTAACCCCTGTTACTGTGCTTGCTGGGTGGCCTGCTTATGGCTGGGCCCCTCTGGTTGGTCCCAGCCAGGCTGCTTTCCTCTGGGGTGAGAGACCTAAGTCTTGTTCAGCTTGAGGTAGACATGGGAGCCATACCTAGTCAATCAGAGCCTTGAATGTTTCCATTGGTTCAGGGATGGGTATATGTGTAAATCTGGGCAAATCAGAGCTCATGGACTCTCCTCAGAGTATGTTTCAGGGCTGCTTGAACTAACCCTCGGACCTGTGTGCAGGATGGCCATTGAAAACAGGGAGCTGAGGTAGAGAAGGATACACCTGGGGCTTTCCATCTACAGGGAAAGCCACCCATGAGCAGAGGAGGGCAGGACTTTCCTGGGATGTGGAAACAGACATTCCTGCCTTCTAGAACCTTCTGTCCATAGGGCAGAGACAGCAAGCCAGCAAAGGAGCAGAGATATCAGTTGCTAGATGTTGAGGGCCGGGTGCGTGGTGGGGTAGGGGCTGAGGTAGGCGCTGCTGTTCATAGGGGTGACCGTGGACTCTCAGGTGTCAGAGTTCTGAGGGCACCAGATGTTGGGGGGAGAGTAGAGAGGGGGAACAGAAAGGAGAAAGCAGCCATCTTTGCAACCCTCCCCAGCTTGCTCTGGGAGGAGAATGTTTTCTTAGCTTATTAAGGAAGATTCATGTATTTTGCATGGTTGATGTGAATAAAAAAGAGATTTTGCGCACACTGGAATTCAGAGGCAATGTAGAAAGTGACATTTTTTTTCTTCTGTGACATGCCTCAGGGAGAGCTGTTAAAACTGACAAATTGCACAAAGCACATCGTCACAGAGACAAATGAAAAGAGTGAGCCCCGGTGGGTTTTAAAGACTTGCGTATTGGATTTTGGGAAATAGGACCAGGCTCTAAGGGAAGCCCAAGGGAAGCCTACAGTGGCAGGATGGAATGCCCTTGAAATCCTGCTCAGGTGGGCTGAGGAGTGGGCCATTATTACTGTCCATGACATTTCAGAGACAAGCTACACCCACTCAGGTAGCCACAACATTTGCTATAGTGAGTAAGGGGTGGTTATCTGTGGTCCAGCTCACTGTCTCTTGGCTAGAGAGGCATCAGAGCCACCCTGAGCCTTGGCTAGTCCATGTGTATGCAGTAGGGAGGGAGGGCTATGTCCTGGACTCATTGCAAAGAGCACATGGATCAAGGACAGGTGCCCTGATGGCCAGTGGTGGCACGCACCTTTAATCCCAGCACTCAGGAGGCGGAGGCAGGTGGATCTCTGAGTTCAAGGCCAGCCTGGTCTACAGAGGGAGATCTAGAATAGTCAGGGCTACACAGAGAAATCCTGTCTTGAAACAAACAAACAAACAAAAACAAAAAGAAAGAAAAAAGGAAATGGATGTTCTCTGTCATAACTGTGGGTAGCTGTGTTTAGGGGCCCTTGCTTGATACATATCTGTGTAGCCTGGTACCCTTCTAGGGGGACAAAGAAAGCAGACACACACCTGTCTTTGGGACAGTTTGTGCTGGCTGCTATCCTAGCCACAGGTAGCATTTGGGATCATGACGGTTATGAGATAATTGCCCATACTGGTTGGTTTTGAGTGTCAACGTGACACAAGCCAGAGTCATCAGAAAGAAAGGAAATGCCTCCATGAGATCCAGCTGTAAGGCATTTTCTCAATTAGTGATCAAGGGTGGGAGGGCCCAGCCCATTGTGGGTGGTGCCATCCCTGAGCTGGTAGTCCTGAGTTCTCCAAGAAAACAGACTGAACAAGCCAGGAGAAGCAAGCCAGTAAGCAGTACTCCTCCATGGTCTCTGCATCAGCTCTGGGCTCTAGGTTTCAGCCCTGCTTGAGTTCGCATCCTGACCTCCTCCAGTCATGGACTATGGATCTGAAAGTGTAAGCCAAATTAACCCTTTCCTCCCCAACTTGCTTTTTTTTGTTGTTGTTGTCATAGTGTTTTTGTTGTAGCAATAGAAACTCTAAGACATTGTCCTTTTAAACTAACCATGTGGTGGAGATTAAATTATTAATGTGGCCTGAACTCAGTGGTTGGTGTCCTTATTAGAAGTGGGCATTAGCCGGGCAGTGGTGGCACACGCCTTTAATTCTAACACTCAGGAGGCAGAGGCAGAGGCAGAGGCAGATAGATCTCTATGAGTTTGAGGCCAGACTGGTCTAAAGATCGAGTTCCAGGACAGCCAGGGCTACACAGAAAAAACCTGTCTGGAAAAAAGTAGACATTTAGGCACAAGCAGAGGACAGTTTATGGGATGGCGGAAATAGATTAAAGTCATGCAGCTTCAAGCTACAGACTACCAACACATCCTGGGGCTGCAAAGCTAAGCGAGTACTGATGAGCAAGTCTGCAGGCCCTCTGACTTCTGACTTCTGACTCCTGATCTTAGTCACGATACTCTGCTAAGTTCCTCTGTGTGTGGGTGCACACACTTGATTCTTGGGCAGGAAGCTAACTTCGTCCTGAGCATCCCTATTGGCGTGTGTAAGGCCAGGCAGTTAGCTGCCTAGGAGGCCTTGGGCTCACCTTTGAGGGCTTGGCATGTCTGCCTCCTGCTCAGACTCTGTGGGTTGGTTCAGCTCCAGGACATAGTGCATTTGGGCCAGATGGGCCAGGAACAGCTGGGGAAAGATATCCTGCACAGCTTTCTTGAACTCTCGCGCAAACTGTAGTTCGTGAATTGTGTTCATGGCCTGTTGGGTGAGTACGAATGTGAAGTGCTGGGATTCAGGCCCACGATGCTTAGTCAAACCCACTATCACCTCCCTTCCCTCTCCATTCTGATGGCTCAAGAACCAAATCTAAGTGTGCAGGCAGTGTCCCTTGACCTGTGCCGGCTTATGCCACCTGTGCAGTCTCCACTAGAGGCTCTGGACCTGCTGTTCCCCAAATGGTGCTCCCCAGATGGTGCTGCTCAAATGGTGCTCCCTGGCCTGTGCTCTTTAGCTGATGTTCTGTGGCCAGACATACTTTCCCAACCCACGATTCCCCAGCTTGTACATCAGCCTAAGCATCTCCTGCAGTCTCAGTCTGTAAGTTGATGTCTGTCTAGGGAGGATTTAGGTGTGGGGAGGCAGCTGTATGTTCTGGGCTATCATTTTAGGATCAGGACTCTGAGAAAATTCTACATGGAGTTTGGCATAGCTATTGCCTTGCAAGAGTCTAGCCAGAGAAGACAGGTGTAGACATGGCCCCCGTAGTAAGCAGGTGCTCTGTCTAGGATGTGAAAGTCATGTGTGGGCTGATAGAGAAAACTGGAGAGACGATCCTCCAGGGACAGGGTTGTTGTCAACAGTATGGCTCCTCCAGAGTCTCTGATGCCAATATGGGGCATGGCTTTGAGCCCCAAGCTCTAGGCTTCTGTTTGTACATTGCCAAAGGCCCCTCCCCTCCAAGGTCACCTCATTTAGTCTCCTTGGCAGTCCTATGGACAGACCCTCCTGACTTACTTGCTGAGGGCTCAGTGTCCTGAGCCAGGTCACTGGGAACTGAGCCTGGGGACAAGGACTGTGAGTGAGGGCAGTGTATGGGCTGGGTTGCCCTATGCCCTTTTCTCCCAGATAGGGAGTGGACTGGGTATCAGTCTGCTTCCCTGAAGTCTGGCACACTGATCTGTGTTCTCACACAGTTGCCTGTCAGGGATGGAGTCAGAGACTCACAGCCAGTGAACGAAAGTAGGGCTTCTCCTTGGGACAGGAGCTGCTGTCGCCGCTGACACTAGGGGGCAGAGGCCTCTTCTGCAGCCAAGCCAGCAGCACAGTCAGAATCAGGTAGCTTGCAGGCTGTTCAGCTCCCAGGGCCCTCCACAGGCGAAAGGCGTTGCTGTGGATAGAGGGGGTACTGTAAGTGCCATGCTATAGCCCAAGTCTGCTTGACTTGGTTAGTGGGCTCTTTGCCTAGGGCACCAGTGAAGGGCAGGGTGACCTTGTGTTTACTTTGCAGGGAGGTAGATGTTGAGGTCTACAGAGAGAGGCATGCTCAGATCACAGCCCTGCCAGTATGTGGGCACTGGCCCTGAGGCTCAGGGCAGGGAGGGCCCATAAGGGCTGTCTTGAGAAGCAACTAAGATGTTCTCTGCCTTGCCCTGGTGTTCTTTGGGGTGGAATGTTGGGTGGAAGGGGCTTTATGGGGCAAGACCAGGAAGTTGAGTGGCCTCCAAAATGTCAAGGCAGACTCAAGGGTGGGCACCCTTAAAGCCCTGTGGAAACAACCCCAGTCCTAGCTGACACTTGTTAGTTATGCAGAGAGAATACCAGGAGTCTTCTACAGTGCGATCACAGGATGGCTGCAACAAGAGGCCAGAGTGAGCTAGTCCTCCCTGAGCCTGAGACCCTGGAGGGTAAGACTTTCAGTCTGCTCACTGGGGCTTCTGTCCCTCCCCCAGCCCCACACCACACCTTTGCTTGTGTTAGGCACCAGCCTTTGAAAGCAACTTCTTTCAGGGGAGCAAGACATGCAGAATTACAAAAATCCTTGATGTTTTAGGAGTGACAGCCTAGTGGGCAACACGAATATGTTGGGTGCTAAGTGTGTGTGTGGAGGGCAAGAATAAAGTGGAGGTGGAGAAACCTAGGAGCCAATGGGATGAGCATAGGCTGGATGAGAGCCTGATGGCCAACCGCTATCCAAGATGGGGATGGTCGCAGCAATGTGATATTGTCGCTATGAGCAGTTTTATCTCAGCTGCAGTGGGAAAGATACATGGAAGCGGGCTTGAGAGGATGGGACCAGCAAGAAAAGGAGAAAGGAGACAGCCAGAACCCACAAACAGACAGAACTGAATAGACACTTCTCAAAAGGGAGCAATGCATGGCCACGGAGAAAACACGTGGAAGACATGGACTCCAGTGGGAACTAGTGCATGCTGCTTTACATCCACTGTGAAAGCATGGTCCAAGGCATGACCAGCACAAGCCATGAGGAGGATGTGTAGAGACTGGAATCCATACGCCACACTTGATGGAGTGGAAAGAGGCAGAACTGTTTTGGGAAGTCACGGCAGTTCTTGGCAGGGTTAGGTGAGATGTGGCCAATGCGGCCTTGAACTTTCACTAAGTGCACACACCCCTGCCTCCACAAAACTAGAGAGAGGAGCAAACATATGTAGTTGTCTCATGGTATCAGCAGGGGGCTGGTTTCAGAGTTACCCTTGGGTATGAAAATCTGTGGATGCCCTAGCTGGGCATGGTGGCCTATGTCTGTCATTCCAGAACTTCAGAGGCTGATACAGGAGGATTGCAAAGGTTTGAGTATAACCTGGGATACCGTTAAGTTCTAGACCTGTCTAGGCTATAGTGAGACCTTGTGTCAAAGATCCAATCCAAACCAAAACTAACCCTGCACAAGCTCCTTGTGTAACATGGTGCACTCTTTTGCATGTACCCTACACATACCCTTTCCCCGGTGTCCTTTAACCCTGTCCTCATTATATGGACTACCCAATACAAGGCAGATTCCATGCGAGTGGGCTTTAAGCTGCCTCACTTAGTAATGATGAGCCCGTGAGGCGTCAGTATGGGCATAGTGTTTCTGGATGACTCTTCCGACTCCATGGGTGTGGGAGCTGTGGATGTAGAGGGCAGAATTCACATATGCCAATGCTGACATCAGATTATGCATGCAGAAAAAAGGTGTGCACCACCTAGATGTCCATCAGCAGGTAAGCTGATGGGTAGAATGTGGCTCAGATACACACACACACACACACACACACACACACACACACACCACAGAGTACACACAGCAGAACACTGCCCAGCTAGAACAAAGTTATGACACGTGTTTTAGTACAGAGGAACTTGGAAGGTGTAATACCGAGGGGAGAGTCTAAGCATGAACACAGGCCCATGTCAGATCCCATGGGGACTTTGAAGGTTCTTTTCTCATTGGGAAAGAGTCAAGATAGCAAAGTCAACCGAACCCATTAACAGTTATAGTTCATGCAAATAGAACATGTACTCCAACCAAACTCAATGATTGGCTATGACAAGCTTGGTAACATTCTGTCTACAGCAGACAGGTCTGGGTGCTGGAGTGATGGCTCCACAGTTAAGAGCCTTTGCTCTTGCAAAGGACCTGGGATGTGTTCCTAGCACCTACATGGGGCTGTTCACAACCACCCATTTACTCCAGCTTCAGTGATGGAATGCCCTCTGTTGGACTCCCAGGCAACACACACACACACACACACACACAAAAATAAATAAGTAAATACATATAACATTCAAACAAAGATGTGGAAACACTAAAAGTCAAAGTTGCAACACCAACAAAGGGAGCTGGTGTGTCTAGACTAGGGCTAGAACAGTCTAAGTACTGGGCAGTGTGGACTCAAGTGCCACATCAATGTGCATGTGTGTGAGCGTATATATCTGTGTCTGTGTACATGCCATTGAGTGCCCAAGAAAGGCCTCAAGAATGTGTTAGATCTCTTGGAGTTGGGGTTTTAGGTGGTTCTGAGCCACCCGGTACTGGTGCTGGGAGCCAAACTGTGGTCCTCTAAAAGAACAGTAAGTGCCCAGAAGCACTGAGACATCCCTCAGGTCCCTCAAGCAGTGCTTTTGAGAGCTCAAGTGAAAGCAGCTGAGGAGGAGAAAGGCAGCTTGCACACTTCACTCGAAGTGTTTTATGGAAATGCAAACGGCCAAGAGTAGAGAAGACATTCTTGGAGAGTCAGAGGGGAGGCTGTTCTGTATTGGCGAGGTCAATTGCTACAGAGCTGACACAGTTAGAACTCTGAGCACTGGCCTCGGGATAGAGATGTAGAACCCTTTGAAGGCAGGAAGTGCTTGATTTGTGAGGAGACTGAGTGAGGAGAGGGGTGAGTTAGTGATTCTGGGGCTATTGCAGCACATAGGAATCATTCCGGATGGGCTGGAAAGGGCAAATTTGACAGCCAACAAGAGATCCTTGGAAGGCAGTGCACAGAGTGTGAATTGGCGTCTACTCACAAAAGGATGTGGCGGGTACCAGAAAGTAGCTGTTTCATGAGAAGATCTTCCTAACGTTGCAGGGACAGCCAATGGAAAAGTAGGCAAGACATTTGGATAATCTCACTGCGAAATGGAAGTAGGGGAGGTGGTTCAGTGGTTAAGCACTTGTCAGGCAAGTACAAGGACCAGAATTTTGATTCCCAGAAACCACAGGTGCCAGGTGGGTGTGGTTATCCATCCACAATTCCAGCCTCCAAAGGCTGAGACAGAGCATCCCCAGAGTAATCTGCTAATGAGATCAGCTGTGTCAGTGAGCTCCTAGCTTGATTGAGAGACTCCGCTTCAATGAATAAGGTGGAAGATCCACTGAAGGTGATCCCTGACTTCAACCTCGGTCTTCAAATTTACACCCATCCACACACATGTGCCCATGCACACACCAACATGCACACACACCTTTGTACACACATACACATAGAAAAATGAAGGAAATGGGAACACGTTAAGTCAAGCTCAACCGTGGAATTAACAGTGAACATTGTAAGATGACCAGCACCCACCAGATCAGCTAAAATGCAGACGACTGACTACAACTCGGATGCTGAGCATCAGTGGGGCAGGAGTTCCAGCAGGAGTTTTTATGTTTAAAACCATCACAAATGACTATGCCCAGGTGACTGGAAGGAGCTGACGTAAATCCAGATAAACTTAGCCACGAGACTCCATTGGAGCTGTAAATGTTATTGTGGGGACAGTGCCTGGAACTGAGGAAGAAAGACATAAATTTCAGCAGTGAATGGAACCGTAAACTGCTGGGCATTGGAAAAGGTGCTGTTTCCCGAGATCGGCACTTTCTAGATCCCTTGAAAGAGATCACAGAGTCTGGTGGGAACACTGGGAGTAGGGAGAAAAAAAAAACCCACCAGCTCTAATGGGCAAGCTCCACCCACCCCCCAAGATTCTGTAACAGACAGAGGCAGATAAGAGAAACTTCTGGAGAGTGAACACAGGGCAAAGAAAAGCTCAAACTGGATCAAAACCACCTTCAGTAAGATGAATGAATCCACTTGAAGTCTTAAAATACAGCAGAGGAGGGAGAACTCTGGGAGGTCAGAGCACCAGCCACTGGAGAGGGAGTTAAACAGTACGCCATCTTCAAATAGCATTGGGAATAAGGAGGAGGAAGAAAGATGGAAGAAAAAGAAAGAAAAAGGAGGAAGGTTGAAAGGGAGGAAGAAGAAGAGGGGATGAGACCTGGTGGTGAAAGAGAAGGAGGGAAGAAGAAGACATCCCTGTCAAAGAAGAGAAAAGGAGCCCAAAGAATTAGGGGGCATATGGTGCTGGTGCCTACCACAAGCCCAGTCTTGTAGATGGTGTGGCCTTTGCTGTACTGACAGAAGGTGGAACAATTGAACTCGAAATCCCAAGAAACCCTCCAACAGCACCAACAATAGAAACAAAATGAATGGGGGTGGGGCAGGGGTGGTGGTTTGCAAAAGAATGGCTTTCATAGGCCCATAGATTTGAATACTTAGTCATCAGGGAGTGGCACTACTTGAGAAGGATAAGGAGGTGTGGCCTTGTTGGAGGAAGTGTGTAACTAAGGGTAGGCTTTGAGGTTTCAAAAGCCCAAGCCAGGCCCAGTGTCAATCTCTCTCTGGGCCTATGGATCAGAATGTAGCTCTCAGCTACTTCTCCAGTGCCACAGTTGCCTACCATTATGCTCCCTGTCATGATGACAACTGACTAACACCCCTGTAACCATAGGTAAGCCCCCAATTAAATGTTTTCTTTTATAAGAGTTGCCTTGGTCCTGATGTCTCTTCACAGCAATAGGACAGTGACTAAGACAGAAAGCTCTAGAGTTACTGCAAAAACTAGAAAATAGTAACTGAGAAAGTGAAGATGCCCATGGGTGCTAATACCACAAAAGAATACTGGACTAACCCACTCCAAAATGAGCATGTGATTAGAGACTCAACCACTTGAATATGCTCAAGAAAGGATAGATCATCAGTATGATCCATAAAGAACTGACTGAACTCAGGGAAGAAATAGCAGGTATAAAACACTGAGTTCAAGGCCAAACTGGCAAGGTCTTGCCTCAAAACACAGAGACAGACAGACTTTCAAGCCTGGGAGATGGCTCAGTAGTTTAAAGAGAGTGTTTTGCAAGTGTGTAGACTAGAGTTCAGATACCCAGAACCTACACAAATGCCAGGTGGGCGTGGCAGCCCATCGGTGATTCCAGCACTTGGAAGGCAGGGATGGGGTACCCAGAGCAAGTTAGCCAGACTAGCCATGTATCAGTGAGCTCTGGTTTCATCTGTGAGACCCTGCTTCCGTGTAAGGTGGAGACTAAGGAAGACTGTGTGGCAACTTCTGGCTTCCACGTGCACACGAACATCCTACACATACATGTGTATTACACACATAAAAAGGCTGGAAATGTGGACAAAATTAAAGAGTGTTCAAGTGAGGTAAGCATCAAATGGACGTTTAATAAGGGGTGTCAAGGTAAGGCAGGAGAGTGAGGGGAAGGGGCAGTGGGTCTAGGGAAAAGCCAGGAGCATCAGAGGGTGAGCAATGGAAGTAGAGATGACCATGAAGGGAGAGGTGGGAGAAAACAGAGGCCAGACCTAGGCCAACTACACTAAACATAGCTGAGCAAACTTCTCAGAAGTAAGAACAAAAAGACTTGAGAACATAATACAAGATGCACCTGGTACTTGGAAAAATTAGTCTGGGGTACCTTACCTAGCAGAGGACTTGGATTTCAAAAGACAGAGAGAAAAAAAAGTATCATCCAGGCAACATGAGCAAGAAACATAGCTACAAGTTAGGTACAACCTGGGCCACCTATATGGCTCAGCAGGTAAAGGTGCTTGCCCACAAGCCTGCTTAGCTCTTGCTCCAGGGCTTGTATGTTGAAGGAAAGAAGTGACGTCTACAAGCTGTCCTCTGACATCCACAAAAAAAATATAAACCTTTTTTTTTTTTTTAATGAGGTGAACTTCGTGGATATATTAAACTCCACATTGAGATGATAGAATGTACTTTTTTCTTGAAGACCCAGGTGTCATTCACAAAAACAGCTTAAAGGATCAGGGAAGTTCAGAGACCAGACAGCCACATTTGAATTTGAACCCAATGGAAGTAGAAGTTGCTAATGGAAACAGGACACCTCCCTGCTGAGGTGAGATTTCCCCCTGGAGAAGACTCTAGGCTCTGGGAGAGCTCTCTCACTGGTTCCCAGAGATCTCAGAGCATTGTGGAGCAAAGTTGGCACCCAGGGCAAGGACCTGGGTATGTGAGCTGTGACTGACTGGTAGAACCTGACCTGGGAAGGAGGAACTGGGTAAGGACAGGAGGGTGAGAAAGTAGGCAGGACAGCAGTAAGCTGGTCCCACCAGGTAGAAGCTTGTTGGATCCTGGAAGGAGGAAGAGATTCAAGGAGAAGTTTGGGTGAGGGACAGAGGTGGGGAGTTCTAGTCTGGAGAGGGGAGAAAGTGCTCTTATCTTTGAGCAGGTGTTACGCTCTCAAGAAGTGACGAGTGACTCAGGCCAGGTGTGGTGGATGCGTGCCGCGTGGCATGGACTGAGGATGTGGGATCCAGAGGTGGGATTTTAGGGAGGAGGAATCATGAGGGGTAAGGAGAATTCTGGTCTAGCTCCAGGGGTCCAGTGGCATGGGAGAAAAGCCAGGCCTACCTGAGAGGGTTGAGGAGGCTTGGAGAAGAGTAGGAAGAAGAGAATGAAGAACAGGGCAAGGCAGAGGGGGCTACACTGATGGATGCTGAGGCTCTGTGGTTGCTGGGGTCCTGGCAGGAGCACTCTGGAATTAGGGAGCACTTCGATTGGGTTGTGGAGGCTGGGGCAAATGTTCCATGTGGAATGCTGACAGGGGCCATGCCTAAGTGAACAGAGGTGCTGAGTCCCTCCCACACCAAGCATTCTGGGTTTCCCGTGGGCTGTGATGGGCAGACAGGAGGCAGAAACTGTGGCCCTGGCCTGGGGAGGATGGAGAGTAGGTAATGGGGTCAGTGAGGAGGATACGGCTAGGTACCTGTCCAGGGGCGAGGAAAAGTCTAGGAAGGCAGCTACCAGCTCTGGGATGTGGTTCCTGGCCAGTAGGGTGATGACACGCAGGGCACTGTCCTTTGCTTGGGGCATTTGGATGGCACAGAGGTGGTGGTGGATGGCCTGGCCCATTTTACCAACCTGCTCAGGGGTAGGGAGTAGTGGGAGGTGTCTGACGGGGATCCCACCTGATCCCACCTACTCTGCACACCTGACCAGAAGCAGACTGAGGCATCTGGAAAAGTTGGCACCTCTTGTCTCCCGCTGGGGTACCCTTCTCATCCCATGGGGCTCATGAGTCTCTCTCTGCACCTACTGGACCATTCACCTCTGTCTGTATCCTATTACCCCATTAGGCCACAATCTCTAGATGCTCTACTGTTCCCTGTCACCTCATTTCTCTATGGCTCAAAGCTGCACTGAACTAATGTACATTTATCCCATGATCCTCAGGGAGTCATCAGGTGACTCTATGAATCACCCCTGAATCTACCAATCTATTCACTTATCCATCCATCCATCCATCCATCCATCCATCCATCATCCATCCATACATTCATACATCCACCCACCCATCCATCTATCCACCCACCCACTCATCCACCCATCCACCCACCCATCCACCCATCCACCCACTCATCCACTCATCTATCCAACCATCCATCCACCCACCTACCTACCCCTCGTACCCACCCATCAGTGGTATTGTTTGCTGCCTGCAATGGGATCCCAGTGTTCATCATGGTCCAGAGAAAAGCCCATAGGTGCTGCCTCCTGCCTAGTCTCCAACTCTGCCCCTCTCCTCCCTGGTCCTGGGTGGGGCCCCAACCCCTCACAGTTGCCAAGCCGTCCCCATGCTCCTGGATGACAAGGAGAAGCAAATCAGCAGCTGCCTGCACCCGGGAAGAGCTCGTAGAACCCAAGCCATCAATGGCTGTCCAGATGAGGTCGGTCAGTTCTGCCATTTCCAGATGTTTCATGATCACCTGTGAGAGTAGAAAGCCTGTTACCTTATCACTTCAAACCCTTTGCCTGCCTCTGTCTCTTTACCCTTTTCCTTTGTCAGATTTCCTAAATCTCTGGGTACCCACTCCTCTAAGCTCTCTACATGGGCCCAGTACACAGTCCCTTCCACACTCCTCTCCCCACCCCAGCCAATGTCTAGGAACAGAAAGGGAGAGTATGAGGCCCAGCACTGGGCAGGCACAGGGCTCTTTTCCCCGGTCAGTGTTGGCTTCTTCTTGGATACTTGTTCCATCCATCCCCTCCTCTTCCCATCTTGGCCCCAGGTCATCCACATATTATCCTGCGTTCAGAGTCTTGCTGTCCATGGTTAGGTCTCACTCCTTATCAGTTTTTTTTAATTGGATATTTTCTATATTTATATTTCAAATGTTATCCCCTTTCCCGGTCCCCCCTCCCTTATTAGGGTTTTAATCAATGAGAATTGAATGTCAGAGCTTTGAAGGATCTTCCAGGCCACCTGGTCTGACCTCTAGCCCTAGAGAGGTGCCATGGAATAGGGTGGAAATATGTGGGCCAGGCTGGTGTGGAACCCAGGACTACTGTCCCATATAGGGCCTTTTGAGCCTCCAGCTGCGCTCAGAGTTTCTGTACTAAACTTCTGCGGAGCCTCAGTACTCGGACAGCTAGAGCTGCTGAGTTCCAGAGTCCATGGGATCAGATCAAGTCTTGCTTGGCTATCTCACAGACTTCCTGAACTCATAGGTCTTGTGCTGCTTTAGATGGGCCATCCAGCTAACTGCCAGTATCATAGCCTCAGGCTGTGGCTTCTGAGGATAACACAATTCAAACTCTGATGTGAAAGGGGTGAGAGAACCTTAAACGAGAAAATACTCTAGAGAAGAAGGTTGGAAAAACTTGAGAAAGGGATTCGAGGAAACCCACAAAGATTCCCCTACAAGGTAGACACTGTCCAACCTGCCTGGCTCTCCCTCAACAGCTTAGAAAAGAATGTGTTTATCGCTGCCCACAGAAGTGGCTGTCTGCTCTGGCTATGCACCCGCCCAGCTGAAAAGACTTTAAAGGCTTTGACCTTGAGAGCTTGGTTGCTGCTCATATGGAAGATGCTGTCATCTTTGGATGCCGTCCCCCAGAGGATTGGAGGAGACCCCTTCTGGTCTCCACTGCTCCATAGGGAAGCTTCATCTGCATCAGGCCCGAACAGGTCCCGAGGGCTTTCCCTCACCACTTCTGTTGTTTCTTGGGCTGGTCAGGGCAGGCAGGGATGCGTACAGGATAGAGTGGGCTGGAGTTATGGGACAGGGTAGCAGTCCAGCTGGGTCCATTAGTAACTGGCATCAGGCCTGGGTATTTTTGGGTTTGGGGGTTGTGTTAGTAGAAGGTTATGGCTGGAGTCAAGGCTGGGCTGAGGGTGGACTTGAGGAAAGGTGGAGTTCAGGGGTGCTGGTATGAATCTATCTGCCCAGGCTGTGGGGGAGGGGCCAGGTATACTGTACTGCTGAGAACCCTCACCTTTCTGGTGCATCAGAAGCTGATAGAGATGGCCCAAAGCTTCTAGACTGAAGCTCTGGATGGTCCTGTCAGAGTCCTGGCACAGGATGCCCAGCATGGCCACCAGCTGCCCGATCCTTACGAAGTTCTCCTTGGTCTATGTAGAGAGCATGGCGTTGATGTGGGCTTACCTACAGCATCCCGCTGGCTACTCACGCATCCCAGAATGGCCTCCACCGGAGGATCGCTTGCATCGTGTGGTAGGGGTTGGGGTTACACAAGGTATAAGGAGTTGACTCCAAAACTTAGTAATCAAAAGAAAATAATGGGGTAGTGTGATGTAAACCAAAACCAAACCCAAAACCTTAAAACAAATGCAGAGAACTTCCAGATGAATGGAGTGGTCTTAGGGCCTAAGTGTCTTAGGACAATGAGCTTGTAGGAAACTATCTAAATTGTCATTCTGATCTCAGCTTTGGATCCAATAAAACTATTTACAAAATAAGTAGCCACTCTGTGGACCACAGTTACATTAAAAAAAAAAAAAGATTTATTGCAGGGCAGTGGTGGCGCCTGCCTTGCCGCCAGCCTTTGATCCCCACACTTGGGGTGGGGGGGGGCAGAGGCAGGCAGATCTCTGTTTGAGGCCAGCCTGGTCTACAGAGTAAGATGAGGGGAGAGGTGAGGAGCTGGGGAGGGGTGGAGCTGGGGAAGGGTGGAGCTAGGGAAG